CCTGAAGCCCTTCTATGGCTGGGTGGAGAACCCAAGGTTTAAGTCAAGTCACCTTTACGTGCCCCAGAAATCTCAGCGGCCGGATCTGCCTCAATCGATGAACTAAGGGGCTACTTTGTGGGTTCATATGTTGCATGGGGTTTTCCTGCCAACTACCATTTCTCAACTCTCCACTGCCTTGTTCTTCTTTTGTAGCTGAGGAAACACAAAACCGTATCCCCTTGCTCAGGACTACAGACATGTCAGTCTCCCTCAGCCCACCCCCCAACCCCCAGCAGTTCCTGTAACTGACACAATATCTTGTTTGTAAATTGCAACCTCCAAAACTGTCTCCTCCAAGAAGCCCCCAAGGATTGCCTCCCTCACCCCATCTCTTGCATCAGGCTGCCAGTGCCAAGGGGGTCATTGCCCCTAACCAATTTTGAACACAGGAACCAACTGGAGATAGGTGGATGTTGACTCGCCTCTTCACACGCAGTGTCCTTCGTAAAGGATGCACAACTTTAGCCGTCACAAATCCCTAGTGGACACTTCAAGCCCACCTTCATCCTGGTCCCTGTAGGTGGCAACAGGGAAAAGAGATTCCTTAGAAATTCAATCAAAGGCGATCGCGGTGAAAGCTAAGACTCCTGGCATCTGGCCCTTTTGGATGCAAGGTAGCACTCCCATGAACAGAATCACCCAATTTATTAATCAAACATGACTACAAAAATTACCTGGCTTTCATCAACCACTGCGCTCAGGTCTGAGGGAGCCCCAGCTGCCTTGGAGTGCTGCCGGTCAAGGAACCTGCCTGTACCTGGAAAGCCATCATCAACAATGGTGCAGACTACTGTGTGGAAGCACATATCCATCCATCACTGCAGAATGTCCCTGAAAACCAGCAAATGCAACCTGCCGCTCTCCAGCAAAAGGTCGGAAAAGGACGAAAGAAGCTTCGACTGTTTGAATACCTTCTTGAATCCCTGCGTAACCCGGATATGGCTTCTTGTATTCAGTGGGTAGATAGAAGCAAGGGCATCTTTCAGTTTGTGTCAAAAAACAAAGAGAGACTTGCAGAACTTTGGGGGGAAAGGAAAGGCAACCGGAAGACCATGACTTACCAGAAAATGGCCAGGGCATTACGGAATTATGGAAGAACTGGGGAAATCATCAAAATCTGGGGAAAACTAACTTACCAGTTCAGTGGGGCCATTCTCCAAAGACTTTCTCCTTCTTATTTCTTGGGAAAAGAGGTCTTCTACTCACCGTGCGTTCAACCTGAACAAGAATATCTCGGTTTAAATATTGGAATTCAAGCTATAATCATCCATGTGCCAACTACCATGAGCTAAGTGACCCTAATTGCTAGCCATACCCACATATTTAATGACTTCCTGGCACCAGAAGCTTCTACCAGCTAGGATTCTTCTTTTAAGGCAAATACTGAAGAGAAGAAAATAAATCAGTTAACTTGTTGCTATCTTTGCTAAAACAGCATCCAGCCTATACTAACATTGTTGGAAATACAACCACCTTCCTTGATGACCCAAGCAGCATGCTATAGACAAGTGGGACTTTAGACTTTGTTCCTTTGCGGTGCACAACATCCTTCATAGACCACATCAGAAGGATTCATTTGGAAATCCCTCTAAGTAAACTGGATTTTACCTTAAACACACGCCTATGGCAGATTAAAGGGACTGAAATGCCCCAGGAACTTAGAGGAGCAGATGACAATAATCCCAAATGTATGGATTTGGAGGTCATTGGACTATGGTTCAAATTTCCTAATCTGAAGGTGCCCAGTAATTGGAAATTTAAGACTACCGTGTATTTTCTGTTTTCTTTGCTTTTAATCTCTTTGCTTCTAAACTCTTTGCTTTGGTATGGCATGTCTTGTCCAAGAGGCCTAGTTCTGCCTGAGTGAATGAGTATTATTAAAAGCTTTATTGTCCTAAAAAAAAAAAAAGAAATTCAATTAAAGGTAAGCAGAATTAATAATGGTAAATCCACACACACACCAGCACACACACACACACACTAACAACAAATCCAATGATGCATTTTCAAGTGGAATATAAAGTACTGGCATAAATTTTCCTACCCAGCCATCCAGACACACATACATCACCAACCACCACCACCACCAGAGTCCACGCATCCACATAAAACAGTTCTCCCAAAGACCAACATTCTCAACCTGCTTTGTGTTTACGGGGGGGGGGAGCAGACTTTGAATCTTTTTCAAAATCTAATTCAAGCCATGGAAGAGGGTGCTTATACACATCACTCAGTTGCAGAGATACATAGGCAGACCATGTTAGGAACCTTGGCTTAGTGATTCTGGTTGACAGCCCCCATCCTTACCCACCACTAACACTCTTATCTCATATCCTGAGTAAGAAAAGCAAAAACTTTCTCAAGTCAAAGCCTGGGAATCCAGTTTGTTTGAGGTTCTGGTGAGAGCGGCCTGTTCATCATCTGGCCTTTCCACGTTGATGGACCCTTGGGGAAATTGCTAGAGAGGATGACTGGGGAGTTATGTTTGATCATTCACTAATCCACAGAGCACAGAGTAGGAAGCCCTGTCTTTCTCCACAGAACTCCTGGTGGTTTCAAACCACAGACTTTGCAGATCACAACCCAAGGCATAGCCATTACGCCACCAAACCGAACCGAACAGAGAAACAACCAAACTGAATTTATTAGAGGCCAGTCTTAGAAGCCACTCCAACAGTTAAGTGAAACTGTCTAAGAAGGCCAGACGATGAACAGGCCCCTCTCACCAGAACCTCAAACCAAACTGGACAGCAAATACTTTTTGAGCGCTTCCCCATGGCAATTTCCGCAAGGTTTTAAGCTTGCTTTTTCACTTAGAGATGCTAACTTCAGATTACACACAGGTGAGCCATAATTCCAGGGCTTCCTGTTCTGCAAATAGTTACCATCTCGGGAACTCACAGGGGGCAGTGGTAACCTGCCCTTTGGGGTCACTAGGAGTCAGCATCCACTCGATGGCAGGGAGTGTGGCTTTCTTGATCAGTTTTGGGGTGTTTACTGACAGGACTCCATTGTTCCAGGGCCGGGACTCCACATTCAGATGCAATACCCTGGACCCCAAGCTCTGTGGATTAGTGAATGATCAAAAGTAACTTCCCAGGTCATGCTGTGCCCTTGTTTCCAGGCCTGAGCCCAAGGGTCAGTTCAGTCCTTTGTGAGGGCTGTGCCCATATTCAGTCCACACCCTTTCACTGTCTCCTTCTCCCTGGGCTGGAAATCCCTTTCTTTTGAAAACTGTTGATAAAGGAAAAGTATTTCCCTCTGTGCTGGGATTTCTTCTAGTGTTCCCTCTTTCCTCCTTGCCCCATGGGTCTACCTAGCATACCGGTTGTAGACACCAAGGTTAATAAGGAAATACTGCAGAAGGAATCTACCATGACTTACCTGTGTGTCAAATGCTGGCCGGCTGGTCCCTTCCTCAATTTCCAGTTGTCAAGGGACTATCTCCCACACAGTGAAAGCTCAAAAGGCAAGGAGTTAATTAGTGTATATTAATCCTTCTAAGCTCTGGCAGCTAGTGGAGATAGCTGAAGTGGGCTGATGTATCACTATAGCCAACAGTTATTCTAAGTTGAGGCTGAGTTGAACTACGGTGGTTTATGACCAAAAGGGCATATTTTGAGCAACTTTTTCTCTGAGTTGAGTTCTACAAATGTCTTGTTCTGTCAACTACTTTATGATTTAATTAAATTGGAAAGTTGGGAGCAGAGGCAAAGCAGAAAGCTTCCAAAATCAGGACAGAACCTGAATGTGGGGCCAGATGTACTCTTTTTTTAAAAAAAAAAATTTATTGGGGGCTCTTACAGCTCTTATAACAATCCATACATCAATTGTATCAAGATATTTGTACATATGTTGCCATCATCATTTTCTAAACATTTACTTTCTGTTTGAGTCCTTGGTATCAGCTCCTTTTCCCCCTCCTTCCTCTCCCACCATTGTGACCCCTTGATCAATTAGAAATTATTATTTTCATATCTTACACTGACCGCTATCTCCCTTCACCCACGTTTCTGGGTTCATTCCTCAGGGATGGGGATTATGCATTAATCACTGTGATCCGTTTCCGTTTCCTTCCCTCCTCCCCACATATTCTCCCTAGCCTCCTGGTCTCACTACTCCCAATTCTGCTCCCGAGGGGTTTATCTGACCTGGATTCTGTGTGTTGTGAGCTCTTATTTGCATTAGTGTACATGCCCCGGTCTACCCAGAACTGGAAGGCAGGACTGGGGTCATAATAGTCGGGGGTGAGGAAGCCTCAAAGAACCAGAGGAATAGTGTGTGTTTCATCGGTGCTATGCTGCGCCCTGGTGGCTCATCCTTTCCTTGTGACCCTTCTGTGAGGGGATGTCCTATTGGCTACAGATGGGTTTGGGGTCTGCTCTGATCCCTCTCATTCTCAACAATATGTTGAAACTGCTCCTCAGGAGAAAAATGAAGCTTTCTGCTCCCAGAAAGATTTCCAGTTTAGAAACCCCACTTCAGTTGGGGTTAGAAACCCACTCTATGTTGAACTGACTCGGCAGCAGCAGGTGTGGTTTGGGAATGCAGGCCTTGAGGCTTTCACCAACAGCAGTCATACCACACGCAGGGTCTAGTTCTCTCTCTCTCTCTCTCTCTCTCTCTCTCTCTCTCTCTCTCACACACACACACACACACACACACACACACACACCTATCTTCCTAGTTCCCCAAGAATCACTTCTAAGACATTTTGTTTGGAAATTAAAATTTAGCTTAGAGAAAAGTACCACTATTCCTTGGGTTGGGAAGAGAGTCATAAAAGGTTGCGGAGAGGGTTGGAGGAACACACGGTAAGTGGGTTAAGGCTCGTGAGAGGTAGGAAATTGGGCGTGTGGGGGGGAGTGGGGAACATAGAGATGATTCCCTTCCTTTGAGTTTCTAACCCTCCCTCAGCCCCAGGAAGCTGATACCACAGGAGAAAAGAAACTGAGGAAGCTCAAGATCTTAATGACTTTATTACTCTGCAGGTACAAGTCCCGGGAGCCCAGGCCCCAGGCCCCCCAGCCCAGCTACTCCTTGTGGCTGTCTTCATGGGCTATCACACCCATCTTTACCACCAGGATGAGAAACTCCTGGAAGTTTATTGCATTGTCACAGTTGATATCCAACTCTTTGAACCAGGCGTCTGCGCTCTTTATCTGCCAAGATTGAGGTGGAGGGATACAAGAGTGAGGGGTGCAGCCTGCACTAGGCAGGGAGGACCACAGCCTGGCATCATCATAGGCCGGCAGAGAAGCCCACCACACCCACTTTCCTCACCTTCAAATAACGGGGACCCTCCACCTCTAAGAGTTTCTTCATGTCGTTTCTGTAGAGAGCATGATAGTTCCCCTGCAACAGGGAGTATTTGTGGTAGACACCAATGAGTTGGTTTAGCGCCTTCTCCAGGTCGGTCAGCATGATGCCCAAGGTTTTGCCTCACCTGGAAGAAGGGAGCCCATGCAGAATCTCAGGATGGGGATGGCATACCTCTGCCCAAAGAAGCATGAAGAATGCCGGCGCGGGGGAGGGGTGGGGGAGACACACACGGGGGTCATCCCCCAAAGTAATGGTCTGGCCTGTCCCACACCATTTACAAAACTCATCCCCATGGTGACTGTAACCAGGGGGGAGGGGGGAGGATACAGGTGTGGGAAGGGCAGGTCCCCACACATGCAATTACCCGCTAGCTCTCCTCGCGCCTACCTGCTTAAAAGAGGACATGCTTCCCAAGCTGCCCCTGCCTGCTGCAAAGGGACTTAAAGACGCCACCCCAGCGGGCTTCTGGCCATCCCCGTCTATCTCCAGAAGCTCAGGATCTTGGCTCCCGCAGCTTCCTCACCCACTTGCTCCCTCTGAATCCATTCCTCCGTTCCCCTGACCCTCCCAGGGGAAGCCCAGAGTCGAGGGCAGACCCTCACAGTCCCACTCACCACGTCTTCTCTCCAAAGCAGACTTGACAGCAGACATTCAGCATTGAGCATCAGCTCTCTTTTATAGCAGGTAGGCTAACCCAGACGCCCAGGCCTGGGGCTGTTCAGAGACATGATCCCTGCAGGTTGCTAAAGCCACTGGTTTCCCAACCAGGTGAATGTGGCAATAACTTCTGACAAATGAGAGAAGAGGAAGAGAGGAAAGAGGAAGTCATTGCCCAGCAGTAGTACCCGGCAGGAAAGCCAGGAAGAGGCCTCGGGCTTACCCGGCACCCACCAGCCCTGTGCAGCCAGGACTCCTGTCCCTGAGGTCATTCTCTTGCTTCTGATGCTGCTGCTGTGACCAGCTCCATGCATTTGTGGCCACAGGTGAAGCATGCAGTGAAGTCCTTAACTACTGACCCAACGGGTGACAATTCAGACCCTCCCAGAGGTACAGCAGAAGAAAGGCCTGGTGATCTGCTTCTGAAAGGTGTTTGAAGGTAGATCCCAAACTCCACGATAATTTAAGGAGCACATTTACTAAGTCTTAAAAAGGAGGAAGGCAAACAAACACCAAGTCATAAAGACATCATCCGGCCATTTGCATAAAGTCAAAATAGCGTCCGTTCGAGGCCTTGTTGAGATACAGAGCTGTAAAAAGTCCATGGTAGGGCAAAGAACACTGTCGAAAAAGCATGGCAGATCAATTCATCACCATTTCAGGTGGGACTACAGAAGCAGGAACCATTGGGACACGGCACATGATTAAATAGAAGGGCTTGCAAGATTGGTCCAGGGCCTCACAACCGAGGCAGTCAGGGTGCCACTGAGAGAGCGTGACTATGCCACCCCTGTGCTGTCCCCAGCATGGTGATGTCCACCAAGGACACACCCAGGTAAGCCCTCAAGAAAGACTGCCCATCCCTGGGCTGGCTGGAGAGGGTGGAAGAAATCTATTTTCCAAATGCACGCTGCCTGCGGCCAAGGTTTCAGGCATCCTTGGTTCCTGAGCAGAAGGAATTCAATGGAGACGTGACCGATGTGGGGACTCTGCGAATGGATTGCAGGCCATCCCCATCGTCCCTAGCCTTCTGCAAATGGAGGTGCTCTGAATGTCATCTCTAATACAACGGTCGGCATCATAAAACTACTAAGGAGCCCAGTTCTACCCTGGCACCCGTGGGTCACCAGGACCAGGAATCGGTTCCATAGCAACCGGGTTGGCTTTCAGCTGTAAGAGCAAGAGAATCAAAGTTGAGCGCATCACTTTGCGTGTCTGTGCACAAACACCCTCTTGCCTGGCTTGGGCTAGAGCTGAAAGAAGACTCAAAGGTCCACCTCCCCAAAGGTTAACCTTTGCCTTAGCTGGGGGTCTTCGGGAATGAGAGGCAGAGTGCTCTCCTTGTTTTATGTGGACCATTGGACTCTGTGTAGATGTGTGAGGGCTAAATCAGTTCCTACCCTGTGACCCACGTCCCTCCTAAAAGCTCCTGCAGCGTGACTCTGGGAGTGCACTGGGCCCCTGGGGGATGAAGGCTAAGTGGGGTCCCTCTGTACTAGACAAAGCCCCCAATCTCTGCACACTCTGCGTAAACAGCAGGAGGGACCCTTCATCCCTCTCTGGACCCAGGATCCTGGGCTGCAGAGAGGAACACTGATGTGAGTGTGTTTGTGCGTGTGAGTGTGCACACACGCGTGTACGTGCACACCCACAGTGGTGGTTGGGGTTCTTTGGAAAAGAGGAAGTGGCTAAGTCCGCTCCCCACCCCCTCCCAGAGTTTCAGTAGAACTAAGCCCCCCTACCCAAACAAAATGCCACTTGAATTAACTATCATCTCTCCACATGGAAGAATGTGATACTAGACAATACTTCATATCCATCTTAATCTCAAAAGAGCCTCAGAATACGTCGATCAGGAAGATCTGAGACAGATCCACTCAGTCTACAGAGGAGGAAGCTGAGGCCCAGAAAGGTGGATTGGTTCACTCTGTTTCCCAATGAGATGTATCATAGCTGAGACTGATACCAGAAAGCCCGGCTCGAGGGATCCAACAAGATTGTAATTCTCTTAGGAAAAGTCCACTCATCAGTCCAGAGCAAACTCGCTGCCCTTGTGTCATTTCTGACAGGTAGCAACCCTATAGGACAGGGTAGAACTGCCCCTGTGAGTTTCCCAAACTGTAACTCTCTAGGAGAGTAGAAAGCCTCCTCTGTCTCCTGTGGAGCCGATAATGGTTTCAAACTGCTGACCTTGTGGTTAACAGTCCACACCTAGTGCGCAGTGCCACCAAATCGTTGATTCCTAAAAAACAGACAAACTCAGTGCCATCGAGTCACTTCTTACGTACAGCAAACCTGTAGGTCACGGTAGAACCACCCCTGTGGGTTTCTGAGATGGTAACTCTTTATGGGAGCAGAAAGCCAGGTCTTCCTCCTGGGGAATGAAATGGTGGCTTTGAACCGCCAACCTTGTGGACTGCAGTCCAGCGCCTAACCAAAGCAACCTTCAATCATTTTTGGAATAAGGCAGAATATAAATAAGCGAACCAAACACAGTCTAGCATCGTTGGCAAAATGTTGTTCAAAATGGCTGAGTGACCATTGGAGTCCGCGGAGATGAGGGCTGGTTCTGGTCTACACACGAGAGCTTCTCGACAAAGGTCAAGCGTGAGGACAGTGACCCCTCGGTGTCCAGTGGCTCCAGCCTCGAACGTTCCACGCCTCAGGCAGAAACATTGCCAAACCATCTGCTAGGTGTCCGTAATGTTGCTGGATAGTGGAACTGAAAATCAGACTTGAACAAAATGGTCCTGGCCCCGAGTGAGTTCCGCAGCTGCATCTCAGAGCAGACACAAGGCGGGATGCTTTAGCCTAAGCACCTCTCACTCAGACAAGATAGAGTGCTTGTGGTAGTGCGTTAAGACGCTCCTGGTTGCAGGTTTGTGTGTGCGTGTGTGTTCTCTATTTGTGCAAAACATCATAACCATGGCTCCAAAGAAAGTCCGTGATAGATACTAGCAGAAGCGGTAAGGAGAAGGTGAGTTAGACAGAGAATCACGATAGAGTTGGAGAAAGAAAAATTGGCGAAGTTCCGATCAGGTTGCTGCTGGTCTGATTTGGTAACTGATCATAACATGGCTAAGTTGACATTATCAACATTTTTTAATTGGTTTTTTTTTTTAGTAAAGAGGTTAATATAAAGGTGTGAGATCATTAACCAAGAAACAAAGAAGCCATCAAATATCATTGAACTATTGAATTGCATGCTAACTGGATGAAGTGCCAATAAAGCTGTTTAAAAGAAGAAGAGCCCATCAAAGAGGTTGAAAAGTTCCTGTTACTTTGGATAAATCAAAACCAACTCGGCGGCAATAGTGTGCCCGACACAGTGCTATGTGAGAGTGCTGAAAGCCGCCACAGCGATTCAAAGTTCTAGAAAAATGCATCTGTAAGGGTAATTTTTGAGCCAATTGTAAGGATAATTTGGAGAATCGATTATTTGGTTTTCCATGATTTCTTCTGGAGAAAAAATGTTCAGCTCTTGAACTTTTGCTGCTCCAACACGAATTTGGAGCAGATTGAGTTTGACAACCAAAGTATCATCCCTCTTTGTCGCCAGGCACTAGCCTCTGGGGCTCGGCTAACAGCAGTTGACGAGAACACATCATAATTTCAAAGTGTTTTGGACATTCAACACTTAGCTCATTGGATGAAGGAGCCTTGGTGCTGCTGTCAGTTAGGCATTGGGCTGCTAATCGCAAGGTCAGTGGTTCAAACCCACCAGCTACTCCTTAGAATGAAGAAAAGACTGTCTTCTCCCTAATTGTACAGATTGACACTCTCAAAAACCCTGTGCAGGGTCTCTGTGAGTCACCACGGAGGCAGTGGCAGTGGGTCCGGTTTGGGTTTAATTCACTTAATATTCCCAGAAGCCTCGTAAGGCAGGTGTGACAGTAAGGTTACGCCCGTCAGGTCTGACAGAGGAGGAGACAGAAGCTCGCGCAGTTGGTTGCTCATGGTGTATGGGCACATGCACTGCTTGGCTTTGCAGGTTAAGAATCAATCAGTGCCCATTAGAAAAAGCACCGTGGCCTTCCTGAGACTCCCCTGAGCATCTCTTAGCATCGAGATCCAGCTCATGCTAACTGACCTCTCAGATGGAGGGATGGTGAAGACTATATAGCTGCCTTCCTGGGCCCCCACACCTATGGGAGACGCCTCCCCTGAGCCCAACCCCCTGGCACTGTCTTGGAAGACACAGTGCTCTTCCTTCAGGGAGTACAGTTCAGCCAGGGGCACTCAGACAGACAAGAACGAGGACTCCCTCCCAGTGTCCTGGGCTCCTCAGTGGGGCAGGCTGACAGGAAAGATCATGAAACACTGCCGTTGGCCCCCACCCCAACAGCATAAGGGGGGCTTCAGAGACAGCAGGAGCCAGGCTGAGTTGAGCCCTCAAAAAATGGGTGTCAGAGATTGGGCAAGCCAGTTGAAGGGCAAACAGAGACTATAATCAGACTGACGGACATGGGGCAACCTGGAGGAGCTGGAGCCCAGGCCTGCTGACCGGAAACAGCTCAATTGTGGCACCTGTGTCCCAACAGGCCTGAGCAGGTGCATCCCGGAGGCTCAAATGCAGGCAGAGCAGGCAGAACTAGTGGAGATCTCTTCCATACAGGCAAGAGGAAGACGAGGGCTGGCCGAACCTCGTGTAGATGCCAGGACAAACGGCCAAGGGGAGGAGACACAGAGCCGGGTCTTGAGTTTGCAACTGTGCAGGCTCCCGCCTCCTACGCTCCTTCCCTTTCAGGACTTGAGCCCCGACACTGAACTTCATGACGGGGCACGGGGGGTGAACGAGGCAAAGTCCTTGCCCTAGTGGCCGACCACATTGACACGAACAAAACCACAGTTAGTGGTTCAAGCTATTCTGATGTGTGGAAACCTTTGTGCACAGGCTGGGCTGGTGCCCCATCGGTTTTTACAGCTCTGGTCTCTCGAGAGCAGTTCACCAGGCCTTTCTTCCAAGATGCCTCTGGGTGGACTCAAACTGCCAGCCTGTCGGTTAGTAGCCATTGCACTTTGGT